TGGTTCTCTGAAACGTTCCATAAGGCCTTACCTATTTTTGATCCATCTGTCTGCATAATAACGACCCTGACCATTTTCTGTTGTGATTATAAAAACCGTACTGCACGACAGATTTATTAAATAAGTCTCAGCCAGACATGGCTTATCCAATAAGAAGATTAAATGAAATCTATCTCTATGGGTTTTGCATATGTTAGTACCAAATAAGGCAGTCATGACAAAGTCACGATTAATAGCAAACTTGCCAGTAATAAAAATTAACGAAGTACATTCTAAAATAGGCAGTATATTTTTTCTTTCAACACAATATGTCAAAGCGATTTAAACCAAGGGTAGGAACCAATTTTCTTAAGTTAAATTAATGTAAGGCAAAAAAATCCTTTAGTAGCTAATGGTAGAAAAATATTGTTATTTCTCCAAAACTTTTTTATTGGGCAATGTCATTTAACAATTGATATTCTCAAATGTACGGCAGATGTAATTTTTTTCTTTTACAAAACAATCATTGTCCGGACACTATCACTCTCATCTTCGCCACTAAACCATTGGAGCACATCGGCACGAAACTAGAAAAAGCTTAAGTCCTTGATGATTCTCAACTTTTTAGTCGTTCAAAAATGCAGCACCCAACGTCTTGGGACACGAGGTTTTTGTCTGGACGACCACTGCAGGAATTATATTATAAATCTGACCTGCTGGGTCCGCTTCTATTTTCTACAAACGCACATAATTATTTAAAATGGAGCTGGGGCCATTGTAAAACTGTTTCATTGGGTAGATAACAAGTTTATTTAGAAAAGAAGACGGATAGTCAGGTATTTTATTACTGATAAATATATTAGTAACAATAATAATTTCTCTGAGTAGCTTAAGACATTAATAACAATAATTATTATTAAGATGACACGGTGCGAATAACAACGAATATAACAGCCATTGAAATTAATAAAATGTAGATTTTTTGTTAACAAAGAATTAATTTTGAATTTTTTTTATCATCCACGAAATTGATTGTACAGGCTGGTCCATTTTCGATGGGATTTCAGGGTATCTCAGAAACTACTAAAGGTATGATAAATCTGACACCACGTTCTCGAGCTCGATTTTCATGGCAAACTCGACTGTCAAATCAGAAATTTGCTATCTTCATTTGTTTTTGAGTTACAGGGCGTTTCTCATTATTGTGACACTTTTGAACATGTCTGTATCTCAGCTGTTAAATAAGTTAGAGTTAAACTGAAAACTGCTCAAAACTAATTCTTTGGCGTAAAATTGAATGCCGGTGTTAGATTTTTAGTAGGTCTTAAGATTCCGGAGTTATGACCCAAACTTATAATTTTTTAAATGGAAATCGTAGTTGTTTATGACCTAAAAAAATGGAGATTTATTTTGCTTTTCAGCAATATACTACATGCTATAGTTATTTTTCCAAACACAGAAGATACGGGGTGTTTTATATATAAATTCGATCCTTTTTTACATTTTAACATGGCTAGCTATGAAAATACAGACAAAACTATAATTCTTACTTTTACAAAACTCATATCTGTTGTAAAAATATGACGTTTATTTAAAATATATATTACAGATAAGAAAAGACAGAGTTTTCAAATTTTTATTCCACTTCAACTGAAGTTACAATATTAAACGTAAATTAAACAATAGTAAGTACCTACATCAATAAAAACTTTCAAAAATGATAGCTAAATGTTCAAATTACGGTCCCTCAACTGTCACACATTTCACGCATCTTCTGGCAACGCTTCGGGTAGCATTAAATGTATAGGTATTTGAAATATTATTAAAAGGAATTTTAAATATAATGTCTTTTAGAAAACCTCAAAGGAAAAAGTCCAACGGACTCAAATCAGGTAACCTAGCTGGCAATCTGATCGGTCCGTTTGTTCCTATCCACCTATCTCCTAAAATTTCGTTACTATTATATTATCACACGAGTATATGTTGTGCATTTAAAATAAATGTCATATTTTTACAACAGATATGACTTTTGTAAAAGTAAGAATTATAGTTTTATCTGTATTTTTATAGCCGATCATATTATAAAGGAAAAATAAATATAATTTATATATGAAACACCCCGTATCTCCCGTGTTTGTAAAAATAAGTATAGCATGTGATATATTGCTGAAAAGTGGAAAAAAATCTCTATTTTTTTAGGCCATGGTCAGCTACGATTTCCATTTAAAAAAATATAACTTTGGGTCATAACTCCTAAATCTTAAGATCTACTAAAAATCTAATACCGGCATTCAATTCTACGCCAAAGAATTAGTCTTGAGCAGTTTTCACTTTAACTCTAACTTATTTAACAGCTGAGATACAGACATGTTCAAAAGTGTCACAATAACGAGAAACGCCCTGTAACTCAGAAACAAATGAAGATAGCAAATTTCCGATCTGACAGTCGAGTTTGCCATGAAAATCGAGCTCGAGAACGTGGTGTCACATTTATCATATCTTTAGTAGTTTCTGAAATACCCTGAATTCCCATCGAAAATGGACCAACCTGTACAGTTTTAAACCAATATATGAAATACGATTTTCAAACTTCGCTGTTTTATGCTAAGTGAACTAACAAATCATATTGTTTTGTTACATAATTTGTGATTTAAACAATTCATTTAAACAAAAATTTGATTGCCTTTCTGTTAATAACTAACAATAATCTGTTAATAACACATTACACTTGAGTTTTCGCAGTTCTGGGAAAGCATTCTGACAGAATATGAAAAAAATAAACAGGATGTTTCGTGAAAATTGAGCAATAAACCATTTTCCTATTCCAATAGGTGTCTTTAAGAACAACAAAGCTGCAGTTGAATTTTACCCTTTTTTGCCTTTGTTTATTTTTGACACTGATATCCAACTTCAATTTAGAGACAAAGCATTTTAATCAGTTAATAGAATAACTAATTCTGAGAATTTTAAAAAATACACATAAAATTTGGGTCGGAGTAAAATTTCGAGGATCTAGCGCATGATTAAAATTTGAAACTATGGATTATTCATTATAAAATATAATAATACGTCCTTTGAGTGGCCAGAGAATATATAAACCGCATTGAGAATTAGTGTTTAGGTTGAAAGCAAGGACCTATCTGTTACATATTTCTATACCTAACTTATAACTATCGTAAATACATGTAAGCTTCGTTTTCACTTGCATGAGAAATTCTCATTTATCTCTTCATCAAATTTTATATTAGTCTACTCAATTCAAGAACCTATAAATAGATGGCATCTTTAAAAATATCTTCTGTCAGAAATTCACTTGCCACTCGGACGGAATATTTTTAAACTATTGTTTGTTTTACTGATTTATTAGCCTGAAAGCTTGATTTTTGACGTAGTACAATGAGATTCTTTTGGAATAAAATTCCGTGTGATTTGTATGAAACATGTGAAATGCACTAATATAAGACTGCATTCCTCATCCGGCATTCTCCTGATGCATCTGCATAACGTTAACAGAGGCACTAAATTTATGTTTACCATACAGGGCGATGAAAATGTGATAGCTTCATTACTGTATTCTTGGAACTACTGACATGCGAGAAATAGCAAACAAATATAGAAAAATTAGTTGGAACACAACTTTTTTTATTTTAACTCCTTATTTATAACGCATACCTTTCAGCCAATATACTTAACTGAATGAAATATTCGAATCATATTTCTAATGCAAGTGTAATGCATATTTAATAGACTGCTGATTGACGATGATAATCTGTCGATTAGGTCAGATACAATAATAGTAGCATATGTTTTACATAACAATTTGTCTTGGTCTTGGGAAAATAGCTCGCCCACATCAATTTCAGTTGCGGTTAAGCGAAAAATGTTTATTTGGCGTTGTTTTATGTAAATACTTGTAAATGTACTGTTGGGGAAGTATAAATAAATATGCGATTGCGTTGATATATGCAACCGCAAGTTGCGATAGTTTCAGAATATTATGAATTTAAGTAAAATTTGTGAAATAATAAGGTTTTGTTATAATTACTATTTAATTATTAAAAAAATATATTAGCCGTAAAAATATTTGCTCTGACATGAATTAAACATTGAAAATCTTAATTTTGGGCAATTTAATTGAATGTTGTATAAAATTTTCTTACACTTAATAACAAAAGGAAAAATTTTTGTTCAGTAGAAGGCTCTTAGATGTGTAATAAACAATTTTTATGTTACAAGCATCTGTTAATTTCAAGACATCGCTTATCCTATAAGAACATTAAATGAAATCTATCTCTATGGGTTTTGCATATGTTGGTATAAGGTAGTCATGACAAAGTCACGATTAATAGCAAACTTGCCAGTAACAAAAATTTATGAAGTACATTCTAAAATAGGCAGTATATGTTTTATTTCAACGACAATATGTCAAGCTGATTTAAACCAAGGGTATGGAACCAATTTTCTTAAGTTTAAATTAATTTAAGGCAAAAAAATCCTTTAGCAGCTAATGGTAGAAAAATATTATTATTTCTCCAAAACTTTTTTATCGGGCAATGTCATTTAACAATTGATATTCTCAAAAGGAAACATTTTTGTTCAGTAGAAGGCTTTTAGATGTGTAACAAAGATTTCAGATAAGCAATTTTTATGTTACAACCATCTTTTAATTTTTTTATAAGGTTATTCATTTACTGCTATTATGTATGGTATATTTTTTAGATTTATATTTTCATAAATTATTACAGTGGTGAAAAAGGATGTACTCTGAAGATTTTTTGAAATTTTTTTAGTTCTTACAATGGTGAATAAAATTTGTTCTTCAATACAAAATAAATTAAAAAAAGTTTTTGTCACTTGAATTTTGTTAAAACTGTATGGCAACACTTTTGTATCACTTTCTTCGCTTTCCACCAGCGGCAGCGCACAAAAATCGAAGAAAATTCGAAAATGAAGCAATTCCTCGAGGATTGAGACCCAAAAAAATACCAAAAAAAGGTACTACACAAAAAAGTCAAACTTACCCTAGTCCATGGTCGGTCATATCGACCAGATCTCCCCCAGTAGGGGAACCACACTCACACTATCCTATGTAAGCCACACACGCGGGACCGCGCGTCACTGAGCATCCAAGAAGACCTCCGTCTCAGAGAGCCGATTGCCGACCACTTCCACATTCCCAGCATCCTGCGCGGGGTCCACCACGTACCACAAAATCCCCCCGAACTCCCCCGGGGTTCGCCAGAGCCCCCCGAAACTCGGCACAGCCACCCCTTGGGGCGTCCCCGATGACTGGCCCAAAGCACAGCCGGGTAGGCCCATCCAGGGGGTGTGAATTTTCAAATCTGGCTTTTGGCGCCGCGTGGCCCTCGGATCTTAAGACCGTCGGGGTGGGGATGAGCTGAGAGCTTCGAGACGCTAAGAAACATGGAGCTAGTTGGCCATGGCGCTGCGGCCGGGGCTGTGTCGGGTTTTCGCCCTGGGGATTTTGATTGTTTTCACGATAGTGCGCAGCGTGGAGTCGGCGGTAAGTCAATTTTGCTACCCTTTTGAATGGTGGTGTGAATGAGAGGAGCGTCGGCGCGCGGGGGTGGCTTCGCCGCCCCTGGAACGGCGCAGATTGGCTGCGACTTTCTGTGTATCTGAGCTCAAAGAAAAGTGTTTCTTTTAGTAAATCAGTTTAATTCGTTCCAAGCGTCATTAAAAAACACATTTTTTTGCTGCTGAAAAAGGTCTTTCAGACATTTTTTAACTGGGAAGGATACACAATATATTAAGAAATGTTTAAAATAATTTCTATTTGTATCTGTGTGCATGAATTTGTGCTTTTATTTTATATCTCTATCTTGAAAGTAGCATATTTTACAACAAGAGAAAAAGAGTCGTTTCTTGGCGAGTGACAATTATTATTGTCTGAACCGCGCTAGCGGTGAGTGGGGCAAATTCGCGAAAGAAAAAATAATTTCACATTATGTACCATTATGATGTTTTTTCTAGTAATATACAAGGCGATCCATAATTATTTATAAGTTACGGATTTTGAAAAGCATTTTAATTTAATTATTTTAAAGAGTTTTTTAAGAATTTCTATTGAAATTCGATATATGGGACCTAAAACTTAACTATTGCAAAGAATATCTAGAACAGTCTTTTGATTTTTACCATAATCTTTTTGTTAGCAAAGATTTTGAAACGTAGATGTTTTGTGACACATAATTTTATTTATACTGTACAAAAATATAGTTTTTTACTGTCTAAAATTTAAGAAAAAAAACTATTTTCAATTTTCTACTATACATAAGATTATTTCGAGACATTCTAATTTAATTATTAAACTCCACTCTTTTAAAAAATTTTTACCTCTGTTGATTTTTTTGTATGTGGATCAACAATCAAGATTGCATAAAAAAATTGACACACTAACAGGTTTTTGAGGCAACTTGGTTAGTTGTTTGGTTTTGGCTGGAAACTGTGGTTCAATTTTTTTACACTCGAATATGAATATGATTCACCATATGTCCAATTTATGGCAAAATTGACAGTTACAAATTTTTAGTTGTCTCTAATAACATTTCCAAAAATCACTTTATAGTTGCATTTATATAGAAAGAGTGAAATATAATTTTAATTTAGTTTCGCAGATATATTAGGAATTCATGCAAAATGTTCCATTATTTCATTTAAGAAACTTGTAGATTTTATTTACAATGTCTTTTTTATCTTTGACCAATATCTTAGTTTCATCACTAGAGAAAGAAAATGTCAATATCATATCAGCTAAGCAATAAGATAATTTTCATTTGTACATTAAATTTTTTTCGATGTGTACGGGGTGATTAACCCCCTTATATTTTTTCTTTTCCATTAAGTAAGTAAGTAAACTGTAAAGAATAATGATTTATAAAATTTTCTTGCGATGTCAAAGAAGCATATAAAAAAACAGTTGACTGTCCGAATTTTTACATATCGAATATAAACCAAACTTTTGTTTTTTATATGCAACAATCTGTTCTATAAATTTTCGAAAATTGATTTAAAATCATTAAATATATTTAATCCAGACACAGTTTACTTTGTGGGATTTTTACAAAAACAAGATTGAGTATGGAGCTTATATTTTATTTTGATTTCTTTCTTTGTTTTTTTATGTGTATACAGGGTGTCCCGTATAAGAACCGACACAGGGCAGGTGCATGTAGGGGTGTCCAAAATATTGTAATTTAACCAAACCACCCCTGAGGAGTTATTAGCCCCCAAATTGGGGCCCTAAATTTCGAAAAAAATTAAAATCCCTGCAACACTTTATCGTAGAAGAACCAGATTTGGTACATGATTTAGGTTTATTACTTGTCTTCTTTGACAATGATTTAAATTTAATTGAAGCACTACAAGGTGTTCATTGGGATGACTCACCCCTAATTGTTCAGATTTTTTTTTTCATTGACCGAATTGAAAAATCGTAGGTAATATTAATTCACAGCAGAATTTAATTTAAATTTTTTTTACTCCTGTTAAATTTTAAAAAACTTTATGATTTTCATGAAAAATTGTATTAACTGACACGAGATTTTAACAGTGTTCATTAGAAAATAATCAAAAAGTCAGTAGTATTCAATGAATTTATCTTTCAAACTTGTCAGTTAGTAATAAAATGATTTTATTTCAACAATTGCCTCTGATTGTTGTCGAAAATGGCTGGAAAATTTACATTTAGTTGATATGGATGATGATAGAAGTGTGGAAGAATTGTTGTATTTTTAATTTCCTTTGATGTCTTTAATATTATTCTTTATTAATTTTTTCTACTGGGTACTCAACTTTTTACAACATTTTTCATTTCTTGGTTCTGGAAATCCAACGTACTGAAAAAGAGAATATATTTTTCTATGACCAAGTACCAACCATAATAAAGTAAAACTTACCCAACAATTAACATGGCAGCTACCGTCGATTTAATCGTATTCTAATACATAAACTAAAGCCTTAAGCCTCTACCTGATCCATTGTAACTCTCGCACACATATTATTCAACGGAATACATTTATTTTTTACGAGTGCATCCAAAATGCGGTTATAAAACTGACTGATGTAAATGAAAAATCAAGGCTGAGCGCATAGTCATCGTTACTGTTTAATAATAACTTGCGGTGCCACTCCGTTTAGATTTTATTACTGTGAACGATTTGTTCCAGTAAACTGGTACACACAAACCGTTTAAAAAATTATGCTCTATATTGCTCGGAATATGTAATGAGAATTTTACGCTGCAGAATGTTATGTAAGTGCCAGACACAATTTTAAGTTGCGGGGACATAATTCAGCAATTTAACCTTTTTAATTATTGGTACAGGGTGATCACACTGAGTTGTCATCGACATCGTCATTCAAAACTTGCGTGAAATTTTGTTGGAAACATTATTTAATCGTTTGTGTTATAATTTTTAAATGTATCGCTATTTCTTTGAATATTACATGTTAAATTTTCTACTTTTAAATGTTCTAGAGAAGGACGGAAAATGTGATTATTAAAATATCTTTGAAATCTGGCGTAGAGCCCTTCTTCAGCCAGCAGAGAAAATAAGAAGTCATAAGCGACGTTGCCAAGTAGTCCAAAAAATTCTTCAGGCAAAAAACGTTCTGTGGAATTTAATATTAACAGTAACAAGCACTTATACAGGGTGTCCCAGAGATAAGTGCCAAAATTTTAACCACGTATTTAACTTATCGAAAGCAACAACTTTGCCAAATAAATTATTTCGAGCTGTTACATTTTTGTCCTAAATACCCATTAAAAAACCGCTAACGAGTTGCCCATGGATTAAATAATTATTTCGATAATGTATGCTAATATTTTATGAAAATATGAATATTAACACTTGTTTACCTGTACGATAATGACAACATTAATATTTTTATAACTTGAAAAAATGAAGCACACTAAATACACAAATGTCAACATATAAATCAAAATAAATGTAGAATGAATAAAGTAATGTCAACATTTTCGTGATATTTCGTGTTGTTTAATAGTTTGAAAGTCTACTGTCATTCTTATTCATTTTCATTTACAACTATTCAATCTATTGTTGACATATCCTAGTTTCCTGAGATCTAGGTAAATTTGCGCGCATTTGGCAACGCCGCTGGCGAGGCAGGTAGATCGGTGGATTTATGAACTCACTCGTCTAGTCGCGTCGGTCGGTTACGTGAACTCTTGATTCTTGTAACCGCAAGGCATGCGGCTCTCAGACATCTCAGCTGACTGCAGAAGAACGGCCTGCTGCGATTGCATCGCGAAATTCGGCTCGAAGGTGTTTGATGGAAAACGAAATGACGCGTATAGTGCGTTTCGAGATATTAAGAATCTTGAAATGTCAATTTTGCGGAATAAATTCTTCAAACTAATAATAGTCCACTTCAGCGCTATTATCCTTCACGCTGTTGATTTTACGAGTTACAGAAATGTACCACAATCGATTGAAATAGACTCGACGCGTAGAATTACTTCAAATTGTACATTGGAATTAATAAAATCGCTAGTGAAACTGTAGCTAGGCATCACGTCTATTTATAAGTTTTAAGACCACTAAAAGATCGATTGTCATAAAGCTAAGAATGTGCCAATAAATTCGCGCGTATAAATCAGGATATATAAAAGTCTAAATTTAATTCTAGCTTCGATATTGTACACATCGCCGAAATATTCAGGGCTAGAAACGAGGAAGAGTACCAATAAGAAGCATTAAATTTTACGACTAAAAATTCATTGGTCTTTATGTGGGTCAAAAAACTCGAAGGTCCAAAAACTGCATTGTATCTGCTATGTCAGATCTATGTTTAACGTCAGTGGCATAAATTCCATCTTCGTTTCATCACAAGTTCTTTTATGAATCCAGTTAACAATATTTCTTCACTGTTGGGTCACTATATTTTATCAGGGGATCGATGTTAGCTCTAATCCAAATGTAATATAAACATTAGATATCTTTGTATCACTCAAAAGTCGTTAATTTAATAGTTAACCCACATTTCTATTTTAAAACGCGGTCTAAATTTGATTGATCGACTTTGTTTATATTTATTGTATCTCATTACTTGTTAGTTTCCTGCTTGTGCATGTTTGTTTTTAAATA